CAGAGCTCCCTGAGTTTGGGATTGAGTGTTTACAGAGCTCCCTGAGTTTGGGATTGAGGATTTACAGAGCTCCCTGAGTTTGGGATTGAGTATTTACAGAGCTCCATGAGTTTGGGATTGAGGATTTACAGAGCTCCATGAGTTTGGGTTTGAATATCTACAGAGCTCCATGAGTTTGGGATTGTGTGTTTACAGAGCTCTCTGAGTTTGGGATTGAGGATTTACAGAGCTCCCTGAGTTTGGGATTGAGGATTTACAGAGCTCCCTGAAGTTGAGTTTTTGTAGCACTCCCTGAGTTGGGGTTCAAAGTGAAGAGGGTCTGTGGTGAGGCCTTCAACTAAGGCTATTGGATTTCCATCAATGTGGTGTCCCGTTTCTGATTCCCTCACCAACCTGTTCAGTGGAGCTAAGGTGTAGATCTATCCTCTGAGACGGGATCCATTTGGCATTTTAATAATGGCACTGAGCGGGGAGTGGGGAGGCGGTTATAGCTTATTTTTACTTTATTCATTCACGGGATGAGGGCATCGCTGGCTAAACCAGCATTTATTGCCCATTCCTAATTGAGGAGTTAACCACATTGGCTGTGGGTCTGGAGTCACATGTAGGCCAGACCAAGTAAGGATGGCAGTTTCCTTCCCAAAAGGACATTAGTGAACCCGACGGTTTTTTCCAACAATTGGCAATGGATTCTTGGTCATCATTAGCTTCTTAATTCCAGATTATTTTTTTTTCTTTTGAATTTAAATTTCACCACCTGCCGTGGTGGGATTCGAATGCAGGTGCCCAGAGCCATCAGCTGGGTTTCTGGGTTAACAGTCGAGAAATAGTCACAGCTTCTTCACCAGGCTGCAGTGATCTAGCATAAGGAGAGGCCCCAGGCTTCAGGGATCCTATAGGCCTCACTTGGGATCTTTGTGCCTCCCCTTGTCACAGGCCTCACGCCTAACGCCTAACCCCAACGATAAATCCCTCCCACCCTTGCTCAGATCCAGAGGCCAACTTAAACAGTCACCTTGAGGAGACCGAGGGAATTGAACTAGCTCTGTCACAGTTGAAAGCTCCTGAGGCTGCAGGTTCAAACCCTCAGGGCCACAAACCCCCTTCTTCTCCCAACGCCGACACTGTCCCAAGCCTTGGCCTTACCTGCCCAGCCACTCGGCCAGGGTTCCCAACAGGAAAGAGGAGACCATCCCTCCGATGGAGAATATGGCGACGGACAGGGACCAGAGGGTGGTGAGTGTGGCCTTGTCAATGGGCAGTGGCTCTTCCACTCCCGTCTGCCTCTTGATCCATGTCTCATTGTAGCTCTGCTCGATGATCTGCGGCCAAAAAGAGGTGGAAAGGAGCGAGGAATGGGGACGAAGATGAATTCCCGTCATTCAACTGTCACGCTCTGCCCGGGATGGGGAAGGGCACGTGCCCTGCTCGCTGTTACACCCCTCCCCACCCCCGTAATGCCACCAGCCCAACTCCCTCCCCTCAACATTCCAGGGCTGGCTACCTTCAGCTCCTACTGTTGGCCCCACAGCTTCTTATTTATTCACTCGTGGGAGGTGGACATCGCTGCCTGGACCAGTCTTTATTGCTGTCCCTAATTGAACCAGGAGAAGGTGGGGCTGAGCTGCAGTCAACATGCTGTAGGTTGACCGCGAATGACTTTAGGAGGGAGCTTGAGGATTCTAACCCAGTGACCCTTAAGGAAGGGGGATATATTATACTGGGGAGGCTCAGTGGTTAGCACTGCTGCCTCACGGTGCCAGGGACCCGGGTTTGATCCCACCCTCGGGCGACTGTCTGTGTGGAGTTTGCACATTCTCCCTGTGTCTGCGTGGGTTTCCTCCGGGTGCTCCGGTTTCCTCTCACAGTCCAAAGATGTGCAGGGTGTGTGGATTGGCCATGCCAAACTGCCGCATCATGTCCAGGATGGGAAACGCAGGGATAGAATAAGGGGTGGGCCTGGGTAGGATGCTCTTCAGAGGGTCGGGTGTGGACTCGACGGGTCAAATAGCCTGCTTCCACACTGTAGGGGTTCAATGGCATGATATTTCCAAGGGAGGATGGGGAGTGGCTTGGAAGGGAACGTGCAGGGGGGCTACTGCCCTTGTCCTTCAAGATGGAAGTGGTTGTTGGTTTGAAAGTGCAATCGAAGGATTTTTTTGGTGAATCTCTGCAGTGCATCTTGTAGATGGTCCACACTGCTGCTACTGAGGGATGGGTGGCGGAGGGATTGGGATGTTTGTGGGTGTGGTGCCAGTCCAGGGGGGTGCTACTTTGTCCCTGGGAGCTTCTTTGAGTGTTGTTGGAGTTGCACTTATCCAGGCAAACTCAGCCCCTCCTGCCCCCAAAACCCACCCTCGATGTGACCCCCTTCCCTCCGGCTTATAAATAAATAAAGACATCTGCATTCCTGTAGCGCCTCGTTGCTGCCACAGGACATCCCAGAGCTTCTCGATGGGACAATTTTGAGGCCAGCGGTCACTGGTCAGTTGGGGTGGCCGTGCCTATTGGTGCACAGTAAGATCAGAGAAACCGCAAGCCTAAAACACCGGGGCGAGAGGGAGGGGTGCCACCTTGGCTCGGTGGTTAGCCCCGCTGCCTGGCAGCGCTAGGGACCCGGATGCGATTTCCCCCACTTCGTGCGACTGCCCGCCTCTGCGTGGGTTTCCTCTGGGTGCTCCGGTTTCCTCCCACAGTCCAAAGGTGCCTGGGTTGGGTGGGCCGGCCGTGGGTGGCAGGGCCGGCGTGGGATGCCCGTTGGGAGGGTCAATGGGCCGAACGGCCTGCTCCCACACTGTAGTGACTCTATCAGATCCTGTGAAATGACCACCAGAACACCGGCATCTTCCTGCTTCTGCTGCAGTGACCGTGAGATCTTACCCTTACTGGGGCGAAGGCTCGGTGTAACGTCCCACCTAACAGGCCTGCGGTCCCTCGGTACTTGCTCCAGGAGCGTCAGCCTTTCGAGAAAGTTTCTCAAGGTCACACAGTCATTGCTGTCAAGGTCAGTTCTCATTGTCGGTCCCCCATGGGCTCCTTGACCTATGCGTCCAAGCGTGTGGAATGGGATTTGAACCGGGAACCCTCCAGTTCTGAGAAACTGGCATCATCGAAGCTCCGAGGAATCCTTGGCCAGCTCTCTCCAGTCCCGGCCCTGGCGCGCGTGAGCGCCGGGGATATTTCTCGAGCAGCTTTATTCCTCTCCGTCACAGATATTCGATTCCCCTGTGCTTTTTTTATTTTTAGTTGGTAGGGCTGGGAGGAAGCCTGCTCTCTGCGCTGTTGGGGAGGCCAGCAGGCTGTCTGCCAGATTCTACCCCCATCCCCCACCCCCCC